TCCAGTCATGTAGTTGAAAAGATCAGAAAATGGTTAAAGACACATTTTATTATAGAAAATAAAATAGAAATAAAATTTGAAAACGTGCCTGATCCTTTATTTATTGCCACATATTTACTTATTTTCTGTTTCTTCTTTAGGTCGAGTTGGGAACTTCCTGATTTGAGAGAAGGGAGAGTAAAAGCAATCAGTGATTCAGATGGCGTAAGCTACCCTTGGTATGGAAACACCACTGAAACTGTAACTCTAATAGGGCCTACCAACAAAATCTCCAGGTTTTCGGTCAGTATGAATGACAACTTCTACCCCAGCGTGACGTGGGCTGTACCCGTCAGTGAAAGTAACCTTCCCTTGCTCACCAGGATCAAGAGAGACCAAAGTTTTACTACGTGGTTGGTAGCTATGAATGCCACCACCAAGGAGAAGATCATTCTGCAAACGATAAAATGGAGAATGAGGGTAGATATTGAGGTGGATCCATCTCAGATGTTGGGTAAACGTGCCAGGTTGGTGGGGAGGACTCAACAGGAGCAGCCAAGGATTTTAAGCCGCATGGAGCCTATCCCACCTAATGCTTTAGTAAAGCCCAATGCTAATGATGCTCAGGTCTTGATGTGGAGACCTAAAAGAGGACAGTCTGTAGTAGTAATTCCTCCAAAATAGGATTTACTGGGCTTTGTATTAAGCATCAAATGGACACTGTCAAATACCCATATTGGTCTCTGTGTGCAAGGACCTCAATGAGGGATAAAAGTTGAAATAAAAAAAACTAATTGCAGTATTTATTATGTACCATGCGCATCTTTGGAAGGTGCATCAATGATTTATACAACATATTTATTTAAATCAACAAACAAAAAAAGGCTTTGTGCCCTTAATATTTCCTAGTGCCTGTGGCCAAACAGAAGTTAAAATTCCACAAAGATCTACAATACAATGACTCCTACTTAGACACTGAATCAGTTACATGCAGATCTGGGAAATCTATGGTTTTGTGTTTTTGGTTTTTTAAACCTGCATCTAGGAAAATGAAGCTTCTATTGAGTGCATTACTTTCCATCGATGATTAATTCATTAAATATGAGATTCAAATTTACAATGTTACATATGCAAGATTGCAACTGTGATGGTAATTTTAATAATGTATTTGCTACCAACAGGTTTCATTAACAAAGTAGACGGAGCAAGGATACCGTCATAAAATATCCTTTATGAAGGTCAATGCAATTTTATTCATCGTATCAAGCAAATGGAACACCAATTATCTTAATATGTCATTGTAAATTCTGGTTCTTAGAAATATCCGAAAGGTCTCTGACTAAGCACATGAGTTGCTTTTTCTAGAAGGATAATGCAGACCTATGCTATTAAAGGCAACACACATTTGAATATTTTACTTATAGCTGGATCGAGTCAATATGTGCATTTTAATTACCAAGGAGTTTATTAATTAAACACTGAATTGTAGTGAACTGAGAACCAAATTATGAAATGTACGAAATTTAGGTATTAATAATAGATTATTTAAAAAAATTTTTTCCAAATCGGCTATTTTTGGCCCAAATTCAGTTTTCAATTCACTGCAAATTGTAGTTTAGTAAATCAACACCTACATTTTATTGAGTTGACAAGAGACTTGCAAAAAAAAAAATAATAGAAAAAAAAATTACTGTTTCGTAGAGGTACCCCAATGAGAGCGTGTATGCATTTACTCATGCATTTTTTTTTGTCCTTTGGCAGTTTATCTAAAACCGCTTGCAAACACTGCAGATCTCTTGCCTGAAGACTTTGTAAGCCCTCCTCTTCTAACCCAGGCCAGACTTTTTGTGGCTGTCCAATTACAGACTTCCCAATGCAGCTCAATGAAAAATCTTTGCAATTTCCTGCCTCTTGAGTTTAGCTCCACGGAGCAAAGCTAACCAGGAAGTAAAATGACCAGTTGTCTGATTGACGGCCAAAAGGGTGTGACAAGGTTAATATTTAAAAGTGCCAACTTCTATTGAAAACTGCACTTTTTGTAAATTGAAACAAAAAGGAGACACACTCTTCTCACATAAAGTGCTTTAAGGGTCTAGAGTGTCTCTTAAAAGTTTATGGAAATTTTTGTAGACAAATAATTTTGAAAAGTTTATCCAAAAATATTAAACCGAAGCCTTGGTTGGGTTTATTTACAAAACCTTCAAGTTGGGGGGTAGTAAATTCTAAATTTCAGTTATTTGTTAATCTCAACTTTTCAGCTTTAAATTTGCAAGTTTTTTTCTGTGTAGTATATAGACCTCAGATGAGTTTGCGAGTCTGCTAAATTGCCTTACGTTTTGTAAGTCTGTTGCCATCTCAATATAACTCACTGTAATTAATCGACTGATAATCTAATTCTATTTGTTGTCTATAAAACTTTGATTCATAACAGCTATTTCAATTAACATTTTATTTATTTGAAGAAATTCTAGAGTGTTTAAAAGTTGGATCCCAAAAAGCAACTACAAACCAGATAAAAGTTTATTATCACTGCATTAGCTATTAAAAGGAAATTATAAAAGAAGGGTGGACTACATGACTTCAAACCTTAGCTTTTCTTTTTTTAAGAATTTCAACAATTTTTTAATTTGATTTCTGATACTTATATGTTAAATAACAAAACATTTGTCTACATTAAACATCTATCTTGCTTTTGTATCAGACATACTATGAGAATTATGCATAACTTATTTTTGGGCATCGTTAATTTATAATGGGAGTGTTTTAAATAAAATGTCTTTTTCTTTACTGTGAAACACGCAGTAGAGTTAAGTTCAATGTAATACGTTTTCAATAATTCTGACTTTACAGAAATATATTAATCTTCATCAGGGAAAAATACGTATTTGCTACCGGTGTTAAGTTTAACCAAATCATTCTGTCTTATTTATTTAACTGTATTTACAACATACAAAATGTTTTTTATTATTCTGAAAATCAAAGTTTTGGGTTTGTTTTTTTTCCAGTAAACACTGAACTGTAGTGAGTTAAAATCCGAAATGCAAAATGTAAGCAAAAATGGCTGTTTTTTTAAAAATTTCCAGCTCTTCTACGGTCACTCAATCTGGACTTCAGTTTACTACAATTTTGTGTTTTGTGTATAGACCCCCATTATTATGAAAATAGGCTACTTGAAAGAATACTCAGTGCTCTTAAAATTATAGTAATAAAAAAAACAAAAAACTTTTTCTTAACTTTACTTATACTTACATGCAGTTGCTGAGAATATGGCAAACATTTATTGTACAAACCCCCTCATAACAGAACCCCTTCTTCTGAAATGGTTAACCAAATGTTTATTGTCTAAACCAGGAACACCCACAAGGTTGATCCCCAGATGTTGTAGAACTACAACTCCCATGTTGCTTTGCAGGCCTTTGAAATGCCTTTAGAATGGTAAAGTTTCATGGAAGCTGTAGTTTTAAAACGTCTCGGGATCAACCTTTTTTTTTTTTTTTTTCAGACAGAAAGGGTTAATCACCATGGAAATATGTTTGCAATCCTTCATCTTAAGTATTGTTATCGGTGTTACTAGTAGTCCTTTAAGTACAGAATAACTGCTGCTTCTGAACAAATTTTCTAAATAATGATATCCAGGGTATGGATAGATCCACTGTAGATAATATCTGGCACAGCACTTCTACTTGACTTATCTGTGATTAATGGTACTATTAGACCCTACGTGGTATGTTGTTGACTAATCTCCCAGTATAACAATGGCAAGGTTATTCAGAATTGTCAAGAATTCAAAATGAATTTCAAATTCAAGGCAAAAAAAACCTCAACTGTAATAATGGACTCAAAGTTAGCTATGCTTCCAGTTTGGCTCTATTGGCCCTTTATTTAAACTCACCTAAATTTACTTTGAATTACCGACAAGAAGTAACAGTTGACCTGTTGAGTGAAAACTTCTACAGGTTTACAGATTCAAGTGTGAATTCATGACAACCATTTTATAAATCACTCTGTATTCCTGGCAATTCAGACTTTATTCATTAACACTGTGTACATCAAAGTTTATGTATACGTCTTCCATGCCATTACTGGTTCAAGGGCCCTCTGGGTCGATATCTAGCTTTTTTTCAAAACTTTGTAGACCTTTTGTTATTAAAGAAACACTCCAAGCACCATAACAACTACCGCATGCTGCAGTGGATATGGTAGGGAATCAGTTTAAACGTTCTTACTTGGGACCTGGCACTGCTTCCCACCTCCATTACAATCAGACGAGATCTAAGTGAGAACTTATGTTTTCTCTCCTGAGCTATGCTCTGAAAGGTGAGAGACTTAGCTGATGGTAATGAAGGTGGGTAGAGGCAACCAGCGAACACCAGGTAAGAATAGGGCGGTACAAATATTGAATAACTACTGAACTAAATCACTAGTAAAGTCAGGAATCCAGTGGAAAATGGAATAGGATAAATCGGACGAAGATATATCAAAAATTGGAATGTATTCAGCTGTGGGAATTTGATGAAAAAGATAATTGTATCGGTTTATAAAGATTGTATCAGTTTATCATACTATTTACCTCCCATGGGATAGGTAGGAAAGATCTAATAATGCTGCAAATGATAATATAGTAAAGGTTCTATGACTTTGTAGTAAGAAAACCAATACAAAATAGGTGTTGGATGTAATAAATCCAAGTAATATGACAATATACCCAAAGGGTTAAAATCCTTGCTGTTTAGTCAATCAAACCGTGCAACAGGCAGAGTGCTTTCTATATATGTCTGCTGCACTGTTTGATTGACTAAACCTGTCTAACAGTTGTTTAAGAATAGGGGGGTGCCAAGATACTCCTGGCAGCTGGCACCATAACCACTATAGAATGCTTAATTAAAGAGACAGTATGACTTGGTAAAGAAAATATAATATGGATAAAAAAAACTTAACACCACTAGTGTCTGTACAAAAAAAAAAAAATTACTTGGCACGAATACTAAAATTTAGATTAAATAAACCTTCTGCAGTTTACAAATTAATCCCTATAACTGTCTGAAAAGTTTGAGTGTGGGTTACAGGTAACGTAAAAAAAAAAAAAAAAGATCATTCATATTTAATGAGAAAAATGACATGAAATGGTCAGTTTCATTAATTAACAGCTCACTTTGATTATCTGAAATCATTGGGGGAGAGATGTTTCTATAATGCTATGATTTATGTCCCTGCTTTGCTTCTGTCAAATGAAATGTCTTATGAACAGGGTTGGATTTGCAAAAATGTTAAGTAAACCGCAAGTGTCTGTCTGCAAGGGGTACATATCCAGACTACAAAGGTGCATTTTGTGCATATTACACATATATTATTTTTTTTACGTTATATTTTCTTAATTTGTAGAGGGAGTGAGAGATGTTTGTATGACTCTTTTTTTTTTACCTCCAAACCATAATGGGTGGGGAGGGGAGGTGGGGTGCAGGGACTACAGGGGGGCTGAGTCTACAAACACATCCCTGTAGATGTTTTCCAATAATAAAAAAATAAATTTGTTTCTAAAATGATCATGAATTGAAACCACAAAGCAACTATCCATGCTTAAAACCATTCAGAAAAATAAAATAAACTTTAAAGGTGCTGACCACAATAGGTCTTTATCAAAACCTTGATAGTGGATGAATAAAAGCACGTTTTGAATTATTTACTTACATGTGACTTCTAAATTAATTTCAAAGGTTAGGCCAAAACAGCTAAGCTGAAATCCTAGCTGACTTGGAGAATTTTTTAAGTTTGACTATTTTGACTTAGAAATTAGAAATCAATTTGAATTCCTAACATGTTAATGAAGAAATAATGTTAATCAGGCTGTATTATCTTGAGGAACCAAGCGCTTGAGGTTCCATTTTGTATGTGCTGGATCAGGTCTCGATGTATATCTTGTCTTGGTTTTATATTTCTGTTAGATAAACCAAATAACCAACACTTTTCAGAGAAAAAGAACATTTTTTAAAAACATCTGTGAACAGTGGTGTGCAATATGTAGTCATTTCAAATTACAACGTTAACTGAACCAGGTGACAGGTCACATACAACAATGATTATTCGAGGGAACACTGACAGAGAATACAGATTAATTAATTGCGTAAGAGCAGTTTTCAAAAGTCAATGACATACATTTAAACTGTTACACCTCTCAGAGTACTCAACAGTGAACTGTGGGAGGGGGCAAGCGGCATGCAAAATCTAGAACAGAAAAAAAATTTATTTGAAAAAACACATTTTGCCTCCATTTGTAATTTTTTTTTAAGTCAGAAATTTTTAGTCTATGTTTGGCATCTCATCAGAATTCAGTGCTTTGTAAATATATTCCCAAATTAATATTTTTGAAACGTCATCCTAAAACACAGATAACGTTTTTAATTCCAGGCTCCATAGAATGTTTTATTGAGAGCTTCAAGAGTTCAAAGGAGAGAGTATAAAGTGTTATTTCAATGGATTTTGTTTTGTATTTTTACATTCATTCTAGAGTATCTGGCACCACAGTTCCCATTAAAAATACAAGGTTTTACAATATTATTGATGGAGCCAGCTGGCAAACTGTGAATTGAGTTGTTTCAGGTTTTTAGCATCAGTGCTTCACAAGCCTTTTATAAAATACAATCCGAAAAGCTTTACTGTTAATAAATGTAATATTTTCTTTGTAGACCAGCACAAATTGTTTAACTATTCTGGGTAAACCACAGGCATACAAAGCGTGAGGCAAAAAGCATTTTTATAAAAAAAAAGTAACAATCAAAATGATTTACTCGTAATGTCCTGACGTTTGATTATAGATGTCCACAACATCAAGAGAATTACAATGCATTTCAACTATAAATCTCTACTTCTCAATGGAAAGGGTAGCGCCCCAGTGTTAAAAAGATAAACACAATTTTCAAATGCACACGAGTTCTAAGTACTAGAGAAAAAACACCAAGCTATACACATGAGTATATATATATATATATATAGAGACAGAGAGAGAGAGAGAGAGAGCGAGTGAGCGAGTTAAGGTTTTCAGATCCTCCATGTTTTAATGGACTGATATCACTTATACATATTGATGGGCAGCACATGAAAAGGGCTACCCTGTAGTATGTAGAATTCAGAGGAAGGTGTTTAAGATTAATTAATTAGGCAATAAGGAATCCTGCAGGATATGCATCACATTTACTGCAGAGAAACCCTTTTCATGAATTTTTCATGCATTTGACAAAATGATGTGTCAATAATAACATGGTGGATCTCTTAACCCTATATATAGCAATACTATTGGGGTTACATCTAAAAATTGTCATTCATATTCGCGCCAGTTTTGCGAGCATGCACCATTTTCTCAAATATAAAAATTTTACTCCACCTTTTTAGTCAATTCAATTTTTAGAGTATTATTCTAGGAAAAATGATGCATTTGCTTAAATAAAATCACAGAAGGCAAGAAAATGTTCTTGGAAAAAATTAGCAACCTAGCACCTACTTTTTTTAATATATTTGGAGGAACATTTGTGAACCTTAACATTTTTTTTTTTTTTTTTAAATAACCAAAAAAAACAACCAAGAACAGGAAAATTAAGTGATGGAAGAGACTGGAATATTATGGTGTAAATTAAGGAATAAACAAGTGCAAATACAGTAATGACACATTTTTGTTTATCACACATATACTACTTACATTATAAATTATAAACTCCAGCCTCCATAACCACTTTCTGCTTTTTTGGACAGAGATATCTCCACATTTTATTTTGCCGGGGGCTAGTTGCAACCCTAGCACACATGACTTCGGAAACCCAGAACTCTGTACCAGGCTGTCTAATGGGAGTTATGTGCAAAAATTATATCTGGCATCCGCTTGCACCGTGGACTGAATTTTTAAATGCTTTTTCTCTATGATTTTTCTCTATGATTGGTGCGTTTCTGGCGCTTGATGCGCATGCACCAAAAGTCCATCAATGCTTCTTTATGAGACGCACTTGATTGGACATCATCAAGGATGAAGATGACACAGCATTGTAAAACAAGAGCCTTGGAAGCAATCAAGGAGAACTTGGCACAGCGCAGGATTCGATGTAAGTTTTTTATTTATTTTTGGGGTTTTTTTTTATACTATTTTAAAAGGGGTAAGGGACAAAAGAAAGCTATTAAATAAGTGTTTTAGTATTTACTGTAAAAACAATAAGTAGTTAAAACTATTATTTGAGTAACCCTTTAAAGTTAGCTTTTAAAATCCAGATTTCACAGCAATCAATCAATCAGGAAAAAAAAAATCATACAAAGTTATTTACTAAACTGGGAATTCAATGCCAATTTAAACATTTTTGGCCAAACAGCCTTCTTCCAGTTAGACTATTTTGACCTAAAACTTGTACTTAAATTTTTTAAGTGGATTCTAGAAAATGTAATTCTATTTATTGTAGCCTTGTAATATGCAATCCAGACTCCTATGTATTTGTTAATTCTGTCTTACACGCACAGTTAACTTATAACAGCAAGGTATAAAAGGGATAAGGTCTGTTTACTAAACTGGGAGTTTATTCCAAATAACTCAAGAAAGTCAGCTGAAGAAGTAATCAAGCTGACTTGGAGAATTTGTCCAATTCAGCAATATATTGGCCCAAAATCTGTAGTTAACTTGTTATATTGCTGCAGTCCCCAGTTTAGTTAATTAACCATTTATTGTCCTTAACCTACAACCACCTGAAAGTCATTAAAGGACCACTATAGTGCCAGGAAAACATACTCGTTTTCCTGGCACTAAAGTGCCCGGAGGGTGCCCCCACCCTCAGGGACCCCCTCCCGCCGGGGTCTGGAAAGGGGTAAAAACTTACCTCTTTCTCCAGTGCCGGGCAGGGAACTCTCCTCCTCCTCTCCTCCTCCTCAGCTGAATGCGTGCATTCAGCCAGTCTCATTGGAAAGCATTCACAATGCTTTCCTATGGACACTGGCGTCTTCTCACTGTGAAAATCACAGTGAGAAGCACGCAAGCGCCTCTAGCGGCTGTCAATGAGACAGCCACTAGAGGCCGGATTAACCCAAATGTAAACATAGCAGTTTCTCTGAAACTGCTATGTTTACAGCAGAAAGGGTTAAACCTAGCTGGACCTGGCACCCAGACCACTTCATTAAGCTGAAGTGGTCTGGGTGCCTATAGTGCTCCTTTAAAGTCTACACCATGCAATAAGGACAAAATAAACAATGTAAAACATACTGTAGAAATATAATGGTCACAAATGTTCTACAAATATACTATTTACATTTTTTGAAGGTCAAATGCAAAACTTTACATATTTTTTTTTATTCCAGTAATAAATTGCTGCCCAAGAGTAGTAGGAGTTTGAGTTAAGTCTGTGTGTGTGCATTGGAGTATTTGATTACAATCAGAATTTTAGCAAATTAAAATCCGAATGGAAAAATTAGGCTAAAATAGCCTATTTAATGTTACCATTCAGTGTACGGTCAATATTCCGATCTAGTATTTTCTAAGCAACACACATTCACAGTTATTCACTAGAGTGAGAATTACACAGTTCTGCTTTAGTGGAATCGTTGCCTCTCTATTCTAAATAAAAGTCTGTTATTAGATACATTTTGAGTGCCCGGACATCTTTTTGTTTCTATGATGTGGATGAGAATTTAGCTACCCAAGCCTGCGAAACACCTTGGGAAGAATCCTATTATATCGATTTGTGAATGCAGTCATCAACACTTTACTTCTAACGTGATAATTGTTGGGAATACAAAGTTAATTACAAATTTAAAGCCAAACTAGCCAACTGGAAATATAATCCAAATCAGCTCCACTTCAGCTATTTAAATTTCAGAAGTTCACTTTGAATTCCTAACAATTCTCACATTAGTCAATAGCCCCAATTTTGCTCTCTGTCTCTCCCATTGACTGTATACATTCATGAATTCGATGATATTAGGACTTTTATCAAAGCATTACATGTATAGAAAGTGAATTCCCATAACCCTTTCAAAGAAAAAAATATTTTATCTTATAAAGCTTAAAACGAGCAAAGATTTGAAAACTGAAACTTAAGAGATGATCAGTTTGTTTCGGCTTATATGCATTTAACACGTTTCTTTTTTCGCTTGATAAAGCAGATATTTAAAATAATTAGTGTTTGCCTAAAAAGCCTATGCTTGCAGTACAGGTGTTTAACAAAAATAACTTAGAGTTTAGAGACAACTGAAGATAAATCTGAGTTAATTTTATTCCCCTTTGCTTGTATAGAAATGTTGCAATTAAGTCACCGATTAATTCTTCAAAATAAAACATAGTCCAGAACACTCCCAGACATCCATATTCTTTCAGTTCTTCAGAATTTGATTGTCTCTCCTCCTTCCCCCTTGGGTGAGTGCTTGCTACTATTTTCTAAATTGCACTGATTATTGACCTGCACACAAGTAGGGTATGTTTATCTACTTCTATGGGTGAATAAGAAGCTATGGATTTCTAATATGATGTAAGAAGGAAGGGGATTTTGCATGGAGAAATGTACTTAGAAATAAAGAATAAAAAACATCTGAAAATTTCAAGATGGGAGTGCTCTATCCAAAGGTAGATCCACAGATGTTTTAAAACTACAGCTTCCATGATGCTTTGTCATTCTAATGGCATTCCAAAGGCATGCACAGCATCATGGGAGTTCTAGCTCTATAACACCTGGGTATCTAACTTTTAGTCACCCCTGTACTGTACCAAGAATGATCCATAAGGTGTTATGATGTTTGGAGTAAAGGAATATCCCATGCAACTTAACTGCCCCCTGTAATAGTTATGATGTCAGGAGGGCCATGGAACCTTCCGATAGTAAATAGACAAACTGTTTAACAACGTTTTGACAATTTACCTGTGGTTTTCCCCTTATTTATTTTCCATTTATCGTCTCGATTATTTTTTACGCTCTGATATCCATATATAAGCATTTAGGGGATGTAATGTAGATCTTTCATTTGCCTTAAAAACACATAAATCCCATACAGGCTAACTTGCAATTAATGGAACTGTTCATGGTGCTGAAAATGTTTCACTGTACGAAACATCAAACAATTTCTTGTTATAATATTATTTACTTGTAATTGTGTGTGTTATTGCATGCTTTCATTACTTGAATATGGAGATCAAAAGAAATTTGAGTTAATTTTTCAAAATCATCGTTTGGCCTCCGTCTTTTTTTTCTACTCTCGGTCAAGACACGAGGGTTAAAATTGCGTGTTGATCAATTAAACAAGTTTAAAAGGGTTTAAGGGGAGGTTAACAGTACTGTAGATGGAATTGCTGCCCTGGAGAGAGGGCTTTAATAAGGCACTTAAGCTGCTAAGAGCTGTAATTATACCTGAAAAGTAGTTAATTTGAATTAACAATCATGTTAGAAATGTCTTTAGATGCAAGCTGAAAATTTATTTTAGTAAATAAACATGAAAAAGCTGCACAGACCCATACAATTACTCGCTATGAATAGTTTTACTGACTTGTACACTTTTTTTGATGATAAGAATGGATCCGATATATGTAACTGTATGTTTATTAATTTATATATTTATCAGATGTCTGACTGTCTTTGTTACATGATGAAAGAATGCTGTGAATATGATACCTTTTGTTAATAGACTTGGTTGTAGAGCTTTTATGTGGTTGAGGATGGAGTGAAATATTATTATGCTGGGATATACAGTTACTCTTGTTAAAAAGTATCTGTGTAAGCAGAGACAGCATTCTGTGACATACTGCACACACACTCACGTATAAAGGTTTATTTACTTAACGGCAAGTTGCTAGGAGATACAAACAGGGTTGCAAAATTCTGTCTGCAATGGCAAAAGTTAAAGAAACACTACAGGTTTAGGGATACAAACCTGTATTCCTAACACCAAAATGCCCCATCTCTATTTATATTTAGGGCCCCCAACCTGATAGCTATAAAAATGTTAAAAATAGGTTTTTACTTATATTTTCAAACTAGCCTCTTTCCAATTCACAACATCATCACGAAGGAGTCACCTCCTCCATTGCTGGTCCAACTCAGGTTTCTCATAGAGAAGCACTGGGGACCTGATGTGCATGTGTTGTGAATGTCACGCATATCTAATGCTTCTCATACGAAAGCATTGAATAAAATGCAATGCCATGCTCTGTGCCCTGCAATATTACCTGACCAAGCTTTACATCGTTGTTGCAGCAGAAGCGAGTCTAGGGGTAGACCTTATCCTGTAATGTAAAAATTGCAGTTCCTATAGAACTACAGTGTTTAACATTGCAGGGTTAAAAGGACAGGGACACTGCACTCAGTCCACTTCATTGAGATAAAGTGGTCTGATTGACTTTAGTGGCCCTTTAAGAGAAACTCAATTTCTGGCTAATTGGATGTCGGGTTTTTTTGTCTTTATTTTGCCAGATAATTTTGAACTCACTACAACTCACTGAATGCCAATATACCCAGCATATCATGATAGTTCAATAATAGAAAGTGTTTGAAATCACACTGTAATTTGTTCAGGCTTGAAGACTCACAGTATCATTCACTAAAGTATGAATCGTTACTGATTCAATGTGAATTAACAATTTTGGGTCAAACTAACTGAACTGGAAAAAATGCTACAAGTCAGCTATGTTAGCAGTTCATGTATTTGGCCTAAAATGTAAAATTCACTTTGAATTTCTGACAATTCCTACTTCAGTAAATAACCCTGAAATTGAGCTTAAATAGCTGGATTAAAAACATTAGTGACTTGAAGAATATACTATTTTTGGGAAAAAAAAATGTAATTCAACTTCCAATTCCTTATAATTTACACTATCCCATGTATCACATATACACTTAAAAAGTCTTGCCATTATTATTTATACATTTGCGGCACAAACATAGTTATAGCACTTGTGGAAGAACTAATCTAGAGAGGGCCGTGGTACAAGAAATGTTTTTGGGCCCCGCTACCACGAGGGTGGCCAAAAGGTGATGTATTGCGAGCTGGAAATCTACCATTTTCCCATCCTTGCAGGATTTTATTTTTGAGCAGTTGTCCATTCCATTTTCTAATCTGTATTCAAAGTTTAGCATTAAGAGGATTGATATTTGATTACGGAATAAGATAATGTAAATGCTTGACGCAGAACATGACAGAAGAATGGCATTCTGGTAAACTGGTGCGAGAATCTTTCAAATATATAAAATGTCTTACAGCAATGCAATAATAAAAAAATGGAATTCACGTTGAATTAAGAACAATTCTCTCTTTAGTGAGTAACTATGTCATTAATGCAAATGCATCCTATAAGGTCATAGTAACACTAATTCAGCCAGCTATAGTATAATTTATATGATCCTCAGCACTTCTCTACAGCAGACAATTAAGACAGACATATTACAAACAGACTATACTCAACTGAGTTAATTTAAATTTTAAGGGCACAATAGCTGAATTGCAAAAAAAAAAATGTCTAAATTATCTGTGCTTCCAGTTCATCTACTTTGTCCTTAAATTTGAAATTCATTTTGGATTCTCACTTTGGTGAATAGTCTTGCTAGCGTCTTAGATATGTTTTCTCTAGTGTTTAGAACTCTGGAATAAACAATATGTTATGAAACTACTTTGAGTATTTGCATTCTGAGAATCAACTAATAACAATTATGACAATTTAAATATCTTGCATTTATGTTTATGTGGGTGATAAATATGATTACTTATATTCAATGGCTGGTCAGAAAAATGGGAATTGTTTCATGGAAAATGTGTACCAAAAATGTGTAATTTTTTTAAATTTAGCCTTTGCAATGGAAATAACTGTGTAAAGAATCAGAAAGGTATCTGCTCCAGGTGAAGCACATCAGGGAACTGCATCTATCTGTCACAGTGCAGAGTGCCTTAATAACTCCTTGAGTGTTGAAGAGGCCAGCGACAATGATGGCTGCAACTCTTTAAAGCACTGCAAAGGATGAGTTAAAAGTCTGAACATTTATTCTAAACTACAAACTCTCTGTTAAAAATTGAACACTCTCAACTGTTACAAAGGTCAACTGGGACTCTGAGTAATCAATGTGTATATATATTTTTTTTTATATTATTTATTTCCGTTCTCTGCATTTTTCATTGTCCAATACAAATATGATTGTAAAAAAAAAACAAAAAAAAATTGTTATTTTGCTTCAGTGTTTTCACTTTCAAGATGGCCGTTATAAAGGAAATTTAGTGAATGTTTGGTTTGTAAGAGTGATTTGGTTGTGATTGGCAGAGAATGTCAGTTGACTGCATTCAGTCTATCACAGTGCTGTGTAATCTCTGTGGCTTACCATGGACAATCATTCCAGTGTTAAACTACTCTAAAGTGGTTTGACCCTGAATAGAGGAACAGCACCAGAGAGGACTGCAGGCACTATAACCAATTCAATGAGATAAAACAGTTATAGTGTCAACTCTCAGTTCTACCTGACTGTAGGCTAAATCTTCAGAGCAAACATACTTCACATGTACCCCATATATTTTACAAACACACACATTCTCACACACACACACACACATATATATATGTATATATATAAAGTGGCAACACATTCTGCAGTGCTGTACAATGGGTGGACTAACAGACAAGTATTTGTAACATTATCCCGTTTGACTACCGAACAACCGCACAAACCAGGGACCACACGGGAGCTTGTTAACACCTATTACCAACTTGGAATGGTTCTCACCACAGTGTTCTATTTGTTCGTCTGGGTGGCCGCAATTCCTATGGACAACCATGAGGTGGCGGCCATCTTGTTTGCATAAACGCAGGCAGCGGTGGTTGGGCATGAATCTCATGGAACTAAAATCGGACACAGAAACTCCCGAACACTGCTGGCCTTCTATCATCGCCTGCGTTCGGTTCTATACAATTTAGAAGGGCACTATTCGGTGAAATTGTTCATCTGGATGGGGGGAACAAGCTCCAGGGTAAGAACATTGACTATGTTCGGTAGTTTGTTCATTTTCCAAACTACCAAACTAGACTGACCACAAGCCCTGATTCTCTGGAACAGTTTTGGGCATGGGACCATGCGTGCGGTCGGTCAAAAATGAGACTTCCAGGAAATTCCTGAACCCCTGAACTGATCTGGGTGATTTTTGGATATGTTGGTCACCCAGATCAGGGCTATCAGGGGATGTAACTGGGGGGGTTATGTTTTTAAGGTATTTTGGGGATTTTATAAAAATTTGTGTTTTTCAGTCTGGAGATAATTGAGTTAGTTCAGGCAATGACTCAATTATCTTCCAGGTACAGAGAAGGGATTATCTGATTATGTATGGGAGTGTCCTGGATCTAAGATCCAATGTGGTTGTGTAATTGTTTATACTGTGGTTTACTCTCAGGTCAAGGGGGGAGTGCCCCTTACATGGGGACTTGCATATAAGGCCAGTTGTGGCTCCCATTAAACGAGTTCCTGCTTACCCTCAACATAGAGCCTCGTCTCATGTGTGGGGGAAACAGCTGTATCTACCCTGGGGATTGCTATATCACTATACTCCTCTGCGTTATAATCACTTGCTATTGTATATACTTGCTATTCTCTCTGGAGTAGGAGAGGTCTGCTCACTGGAAAATGGATCCTGGTCTTGGGTCCAGGGTGGGTGGAGGATGGCAAGACCCCAGCCAAGCTGTCACGCTGGAAGTGGGGACTACGGTGCTGATGGTGTCTGGTGCAGTGCTTGTGGTACTCGGCAACAGCTAGGAAGCAGCATTTGGCGGAGGCCACTTGTGTATTATAGAGGATAGGTAGGAGCAGCATGATGTTGACATTTGTAAGCAAGTACCAGAATTTTATGGGAAGCCAATGTAGAAACTGACAGAGGGGTGAAGCTTGGGAGGTGAGGGTGGACAGGAAGATGAGCCTCACCGCCACGTTCATTATTGACTGTATCGAGGCAAGTTGGGAACATGTAAGACCACCGAGAAGTGGATTGCAGTAGTCAAGGTGAGACAAGATAGCAGTATGGACCAGGACCTTAGCCGTGTCCAGTGTTAATAAGGGGTAGATATGTTGTATGCTCACTATGTTTTTTAGATGAAAGTGGCAGGATTTGGCAATAGACTAGACTGGATGAGTGAAGATGTTTGAATCCAAGAGAACACCTAGACAGCAATCCTGTGAGTAGAGCTGATGGTAGTGCCTTTGACTTGGAGGCAAACAGGCACATTTGTTGCAACACTTGAGGGAGGAAAGACTGGAAGTTCTGTTTTGGACAGGTTACATTTAAAGAAGTGGGCAGACATCCAGTTAGACAGATTGAGAGAGGACAGATTTGCATGTCATCCACATAAAAATTATAATGGAAGCCAAACAAGCTGATGATTTTACCAAGTATAGAGTGAGAACAGTAGGGGACCAAGGACCAAACCTTAGGGAACACCAAAAGAGAAGGGCTAGAAAGAAAAAAAATCAGTGAAAGAGCGCTGGGAGAGGTAGGAGGAGCACCAGGAGAGAGCAGTATCCCGTAGACTGATATTACGGATAATAAGAAGAAACTGTTGATGATCAACAGTGTCAAAAGCAGCAGACCTGTCAAGGAGTATTAGAATAGTATAGAATAGCGATCACGGACTTTTGCAGCTATTAAAGCATTGGATACTTTGGTCAGAGTTTTGACAGAGTGTGGAATCCAGACTGAAGTGGGTCAAACAGAGAGTTGGATTAAAGGAAATCTGTCAATCTCATGCACACAACTCTCTCAAGGATCTTGGAGACAAACAGTAGTAGGGATAGAGACATAAATATATATATATTTATTTCCCCTTCATCACACACTAAACACAGAAATACATCATCACACAGAAATACATTAATAAACATTACAGATATAATATCACACACATAACAAACATACATGTTAGGAACTTGTGTGACATATAGGTGTGTGTATAAACGTGAGTGGATATAGGAATAAAAAAGCAAATAAATGAATACCCCTAGTATTGCCCCCCTCCACCTCATTCAATTTGAACATGGTTTCATACTAATTCACTCATTGCACTTCTTCCTCTTTAATTCTTGCATAATTTACAGAATTAGCCTAAAGAATGTGCCTCCGGAAATCTATCAATTTAGGAGTTTCTTCATGTGGTAAATGACAAAATGAAGGCTTTCCAAAGAATTAAGGCTTTTCCTTGTCAGCCCGATCAGCCGATGCTCGGATCCGGCAGACCACCGTTCCCATGCAGCATGAGGGTCCGGTCAGCTTCAAGGACGCTCCCGCTGTGAGCTTGCCCCTTTTTATGACGTGGCGCACAAGTGCCGGCATCATGACATTAGAGGAACTCTAATCAATAGAGCTCAGCAAACTCACACCTTTTGGTGGTTATGCTAACCACGCCCCGCAACCATATACAATCTCAGTCTGCCCAAGGCACAGTGCCCTGTTGCGTTTCCTAGTGTCACTAGAGTCCCAAAAGCGCATTTTCTTTGACAAGTTATGTATATTTTAAAATTGACCGTGCTTGCTCTCGACTACTTTGTTTTCTGGCTCCTCTGACTCGGCTTTGTTTCTCGTATTTGTGTATTTATGGCTTCCCTTGACCTTGGCTTGTTCTGATGTTCTATGTATTTTCTTCTATCTATTCTAAGGACCAGTTTAGAGACCTTTTTTGTCTGTCTCTTTTTCTGGTGGATTTCCATTCTGCGTGATGGGTTATAACGTTACACTTCCCCCCACCCCCCATCATGCCTACCTGCAGTCGCTGGGAGGAATTATGGAGTATGCAGTCTGTGACCAGAAAGCATCTCTGAACATGACTGCAGTGAAGGTCTTAGGAGCTGTAGCGTACATGACCTGGCTATCATCCTGCTTAAGAGAAACAATGCACGTGACGGGCCTAATGTAACCTCTGCTGCTCTAATCCTTTCATTCTGAACTCTGATGCTTGAAAGCCATGGAGGAGGGTTTAGGAGTAGTATGTAGCCTGCCTGACTGCTGGGAACAGCTTAAAACAGATGAACACAAGGCAAATTATTATATATATATTAAAAAAAATTGATCAAAACAAAAATTAGAGAAGGGATAAATAGGGCAGCTGCAATGGGCCCATGAGGGTTGCTCCGTGCCTGGACAGATAACCCTTGTGATCAGTATTAAAGACTCTCCCTACGCTACAAATAATAAAACAAACTGAAACTAAAAATAGGGAAAAAATCTGACAGGATCACATAATTATTTCTTCTCAGGATTTGGACTTTAAAATATAATAGTAATAATGCTGCAAATGCCATATTTTGTCATCATTTGACGTATTAGGAGAATCTTGGAAATGTAGGGTATGACAATTTTAAAAAAAAAGTGTATTATGTGCATTTAGCCACCTTTCTTGAAAAAAAATACTGGCCATGCCAACTTGCATAATTTATTGTGTGTGTAGCAGTGTGTATATTGTCTCTGAGTGTGTGTCCTATTGTGTTATTGAGTGTATACTGTGTATAGTAGTATGTGTCATTGTACGTATACTGTCTGATTGAGTGTGTGTCTAAGTGTGTATAGTAGTGTGTCATTGTCTGTGTATGTTGCATTGTGTGCATATTGTGTCTATGTAGCAATGTGTGTACCTCCCATGTATAATAGAAGTAGATATTATGGATCCATTTCCCTCACCACTCTTGCAAAGTGGTGGAACTAACCTCTACTAGATGGTCACCAGACCTCTACTGCCATGGACTTATATTTCTATCCAGATCGTACCATGCCCCAAGTACCTGAGGACACCCAATGAGAGATCATACAAAGGTGTCAGAAAATGTCCAATGTTTATTAAACAGAATAATGCTTATATAACAACACGTACTACAGAGGAGTCTAGTGAGAGTTTCATTAATTACCAATCAAATAGTGACAACTGTTAACTAACAGCATGAACAAGCTTGTGCAAACTACATGAAATGGGCGTATGACCATTTATTGATCTAAAACTTATGTAGGGGACGTTAGTGGGTATTCCTAGAAAAGGGCAGGGTCATATGCAAAACTAAGTACATGACATCCTTGCAATGTACAAGGTTGTTAGTCTTATGATTCATCTTAGCATAAATTAACCCTTAAACAGAGTCTAGTCACAAATATACCACAATTGCATAGCTGTTATTTTTTGCAATATGGACGCTGGCTAGACAGCCTCAAATACTGGTTGTGCTGGTAAAATACAGGGCATGTGGCAATCCTATCAGTGTTTGTGATAGGACCTGGGGAGGTAGGTGGTGTTTTTAACACTCTAGGGTCCAGAATACATTTTTGTGTTCCTGAACCTATAGTGTTCCTTTAAATATATTTTTATATTTGAAATAAGTTTTAAAGTTTGGGAGCGAGCGCTGGTAAGTGGACTATCGTGGTCCCCGTGCTAATTCAATAAGCCAGAGCAATGATGCAGAGTTGCCTAATAATCCTATCAACAAGCAATGGATCACCAAAGATTAACACATACAATCAATACAGTCAATGTCCACACAGTCACACTCAGCCAACTCCACATACAAGGTGAAAGGTGGTGAAAGGGAGGATGAGACGAAGAGTGGAAGGGGAACCTTCATTGATTCTTGTACCAGGGTCCTGTGGTATACTTACACCCCTGCCATTATTCCCAAAATTCAATCCACTGTCCTCACCAGGAGCGCCTATCAGTACATATACCAGGAGCGACCAACACACACATACATATATATATTTGCTGATTTCCATGTGATGTAAAAATGGGGACCTGTATAAATATGACCTTTGGGTTAGTATATTTTGATAAGTACATAAAATGGATTTGGAAATTTCAAATTGCGATAATAATTTATGAGACTTTATCAATTATTAATTTGATGAATATTTCTTTTTCATCTTTAGGTAAAGTGTCATAGATTGGAGACACATTTTAATAAAACAGGAGTTGATATATTTTCATCTCTATAAATACACTTGTTTCCAGTAGAAAAAAACAGTATGTTGCACGGCATGTGCGTTTGTGGTCTGAAAGATTGATACCATATCATCTGATGAGTAAATTTACCAACATAAATTATTTACTGGGTACCAAGTTTAATGTATATTTAACTGGGTAATAAATAAGTATTACATAGAGGAAAGGGGCAAAACAGAAAAAATTGACAGAGTTTAAAATCTTTTTAAATACGGAGAGTCAATTGCCTAATTTTCTACCTGAATTAAAAAATTGGCAGGAAGGATACATTTCCTGTTACCTACAGGACCAAAAATAGTCTCTGGGGACATCTTGGATAGAATAGGAACAACTAATTTCATAAGTACTTTTTCATTTTTCTGTAATAAGTTTTGTTTTTGTAAATTACACTTTTATTGGGAACACAGAATATTGACATGAAAAAAAAGAAAACTTTTGCCGTCAGGTAGGAGACAATCCAAAAAATACCATGGCAATAATATTAGCAGTAACATGAGTAAAATATTCACAGGCAAGTACATATACAGAAGATAATCACATTAAATGCATCTATCCAAATATTATAAACTGAGAATGGGGATGATGAAGGAGAAAGAGAACAGTCTGTAAAAAGGCATTTTATGGTTGCAGGTGTCCTGTCTACCTATCTTTTTACGAATTTAAAAAAACAAACACAGCATGTCATGCTTAAATGAGTTTGAAATCTACAAAGAAAAGGAAAAAGCTAAGCAAAAAAGAGACACTATGCACAAAAAATGAAGAAGGCAGTTGTAAGATGGATGAGGAAGAGGTTAGAACTGATTTTGCAAGGCTCTGTCAAAAAGCCAAGTATTCAGTTTCATCCAGAATTTGAAACAAGCTTAAAGGGACACTCCAGGCACCCAGACCACTTCTGCCCATTGGAGTGGTCTGGGTGCCAACTCCCACTACTCTTAACCCTGCAAGTGAAATTATTGCAGTTTTTTATAAATTGCAATAATTACCTTGCAGGGTTAACTCCACCTCTAGTGGCTGTCTACTAGAGGGCACAGCCACTGGAGGGCACTTCCTGCTTCATAGCACAGAAAACCTGTGCTAGAGCGTCGCTGGATGTCCTCACGCTGTGTGAGGACCTCCAGCGTCGCTCAATTCCCCATAGGAAAGCATTGAAAAGCATTTTCAATGCTTTCCTAAGAGGACCTCTAATGTGCATGCGCGGCAATGCGCATTAGGTCTCCCCGGCCTGTGGGCGGGATCAGTCTCGCCCACCGGCCGACATAATGCAGAGGAGGAGTGGCGGCGGAGGAAGAAGCAGCGAAGTGAGACATGTCGTTGCCTCTGGTATGTCACTGAAGGGTTTTTCTCCACTTCAGCAACCGGGCATTGGGGGGTGGGAGGGAGAGGGGACCTGCAGTGCCAGGAAAATGGATTGTTTTCCTAGCACTGGAGTTTCCCTTTAAGTTGTTTAGAGGTTATTTGGTAGGACGTGCTCCATGTAATGATGTGATTGCTCTTTTTGCCTTCTTAAACAGTTCTACCGAATGCTGTTGTTGAGAAGTGAGGGTACCTTAGAAATAAAAGTCTCTTCATGTAGATATTTTGGTTACTTAGGTGAAGTGACCTATGGACCATACCATTTTAAATGTATAATGTCAGTTTGAAGACTGGGTCGCTTCTTGTGTTTGTCTGAGATGTCTTTATATTTCCATGACCTGTAAGTAGCTAAACTGACCTTCAGAAGTTATAAAGCACTGTCTGGCCTACTTACAGTATATACTCGAGTATAAATCTAGTTTTTCAGCACATTTTTTCTGCTTAAAAACCCCCACTCGACTTATACTCGAGTCACTGTCTGTATTATGGCAACTTAGAGAGCCGCGGCCGTCAGAGCCATGGCAACGATCCGCGCGGCAACCAGACCGCGAGACTTACAGTGGAGCTGACTGGAACGGAGGAGAAGGGAGCTGACAGGAGCTGCAGGAAAGGTAAGTAAATGCTTCCTGCCGGCCGCCCCACTTCACAGCCCATGCCACTGGACCACCAGGGATTAAGATTGCCCCCCTCCCTGATCAGTTAACAAGCAGGGAGGGGTGGACAAAAAAAAATTAAAATAATAAAAAAAAATAATAATATTAAAATATAAAAAAAATTTAAATAATAAAAATGCCCTCCCCCCACCCAGTTCACACACACTACACAAACACACACTCTGCATTATATACACATTCTGCATTATATACACAGAGTGTGTGTATATAATGCAGAGTGTGTGTTTGTATGAGTGTGTGTATATATAATGCAGAGTGTGTGTTTGTATGAGTGTGTGTGTATATAATTATAAAAATCACAGAATTTCATAGCCCCAAGTTTTACCCTCGACTTATCCACGAGGCATAGCATATTTCACAATTGTTGGTCACAAAACTGCACTCGACTTATACATGAGATCGACTTATACACGAGTATATACGGTACATTCAAAGCATGTGGTCTACCTGTCACAGTACCAGCAATATTATAACAGCATTGGAGACTTTGAGGTTCAAAATATGTCCTATATTGTATATCATCCACAGTGTTCAGAGTGTTTTTTTTTAGTTCTGAATATATGGGTTGTTACAGTTTTTTAGAAGGTATATGGGTTATGTTGGGTTTACAAAATGTCAGTTTCAGTACATAGAGAGTCTCTCATCACTGTATTACCTTATCCTCAAGCTAGGTGTCCTCCGTAGGTCCTGGGTGATCTCTCCTGTTCTGACGATCCCCACACCAAACGCGATGACATTGCACATGACTCATGACAATCAGAGGCCACAGGGGCCTATATTTAGCCCTTGTGGCATCTCCTCAGAGAGATGCCCTTGTGGCATCTCCTCAGAGGCCACAGGGGCCTATATTTAGCCCTTGTGGCATCTCCTCATTGCCCTCTCGTTGTTGTTAGTAGCCTTACTAACCTCTTCTTGGTATTTCTGGTATCTGACTTGGCTTTAACATTTATTCTGTATTCTGGTATCCCATACTCTTGGCTCTGTTTCTCTTGTTTATCCGTCTTACTCTAATCCTGACTTAGACCTGTATTTGACTACTCTATATCCTATACCTTCCATATACATTAAGCCTGGCCACCCTAAGCAGGTCCGGTAATATGTATTTTCTTTGTACAGGGTTCAACTTGTGTCATTGTTTGCAAGTTGAGGTGTCTATTCTTGACAATCACATCCCAAGATGGCATATCTCAACCTACCTCAGCTAAGATGTCTTAACAGGAAGAATGTGTATTTCATTATGTATTAGGATGCATTAGTTTCCAGTTTAGGAATAAAAAGTGAGTGGATCCCACTAGTTTGTTCCAGGAAGGAATTAGAAAAGCAGAAATATATATGGCTGCAATCCCACTCAGTGGGATCACATTGAAATGTGACAGGAAGGGAATGTCATATACATTTTATTTCAAAATGTGTAGAAATTTTTATTTTTTTAAACTTTCATCTTTAAACTCTATGCAGCACTTTCAAAGAGATGGTCATTATTCGAGACAGTGTTCAGTTGGTGTCAATTAATTTTTATGATCAATGGACGCATAATTCTTCGTTACAAAATACCTTTTGCATTACTACAAATCGTTCTACCATGAACACTGCTCCCATCTCGCATCCTATTAAGTTATTTTGAGGGGATTAAGCAGTACATTATCCTAATAAGTTGTGTGTAAAATGGGTTTAGCTTTATCTCATCCAATTAGGTAAATGATGGTGGTTTAGCCGCGTCCACATATGCCAGTGTTTTAGGATTGATTTGCAAATTAGTTTACGGATAGTAGTAGACTGTTTACTGCGTTATTATGACAGAAACATGATAGATAGTCATTATTGTGATAATGTGTAATGACATATTTTGGAGTAATTTATCAACTGTCATATCTTAATATAAAATACAATGAATTCGGCTGAAGCCCACGTGTAATTTTCTTTAATGAAAAATCTTAATTTGGGGTTCATCAATTCTCCAAATTATCTATTTGCCATGATGTAGTCTAAACATATTACCACCTGCTTTTTTTGTGCTTTTTCCTCCTGATAGTCAAGATATATATCACCAGGGAGAAATATGTGTCCCCTCCTTAAATAGTCATTGTAAATGATGTGCATGTTTGTGAATGTATTTGCTGCTATGGTTTTATCAGATAAGACCTGTTCTGTGCAGCTGTTTCGCAGCTATCATGCATCAAGACGAAGACAGCTAGACATCTTGCAGGACGACTTGCTAAAATTACATAAAGCCCTACTTAGGCTGACATTGCTTTATTGAACCACACAATGCCAAGCTGAAACAAAGCAGGATTTTTAGAAATTTTCCAGTACATATATTTTCTTCCTGTTCTTCCTGCACAACTCCAAACCTCAACTGGCAAATGTTGTATACCCCTTCAGGAAATTCCTTTTGATTAGAGAATGGTGAAAAATTAGAGAATGGCTGTCCAGGGCACTTACCCTACGAGAACTCAATTCTGCACAATCAACATTTTCTCAAGTGCTTCTAACTTTCCTGATGTCTGGCTTTAGTCGCATGGCTTTGATTTCAGGCTGTTATACATACAGATTTAAGGGCCCCTCCTCACCATTGCACATTGCTCATGTGTATCTATTTATACACGTTCTCAGTCGTGTCTGAATGGACCACTCCAGAGCCCATAGTCCGTGCACTCAAATGAAGTTTCAAGTGATGTAAAATCGGCAACGTCTTACTTCTTCTGGAGCGCAAACATGGCCCAATCCAAATAAAGCCACTAGTATTTAACTTCTGACCATTCTTGTCAGAATAGACCTGTTGTAGTTCTTGTTTATCTCACTAGTGCATTTGTGATATATCTTATTTCCTGTTACTAACCTTGACTTGATTTCCGTTTATTTTATTCTCTGTACTCCTGAATTTTGACTTGTCTAACATTTACGCTAATTTCTCTTACCCTTGACCATCTCTCTGACCATTTTTACTTTAAGCCCAGCCACTCTAAGTTCTGGTAATATGGATTATAGTACTCTCAGATTAGGGTCTGTGTATTTGGCATCCCTTACATATACCCTGACACTGGCAAACTTCACGTCCATTCTTGGCTATTTTGTCTGCTCGAAGCACTATTCTTCATCTTACTATAGACATTTTGGTCTTGATTTAATCATCTTTCTAAATGATTAAATTCTGTTAGATAGAAAAGCCTTCCAAATAATGTTTCTACAGAAATCACCATAAAGGTCAATGGGGTTATTTTGTAGATAAATCACCTTTTTCCGTTTTCCTAACAGTATTCAACATTTGGAAAGATTAAATCAAGGCCTGTGTTAGCCTCGCCATTCTAAGACCTATCCTTTTTTCTCTCTGTCTTATTATCAGACATGGCCCATATTTAATATTTTTGGTTAAGCCTTTCAAATGATTTCAGATTTTGCATAAGTATTTACATTTTTATTTTTAAAAATATGAAAATATAAAAAAAAATACATACTTATTGATATATATAGAAATATATCAATATATAAATAATATTGAAATATTAAAATATTTTTTCATCTAACTCGTTTAAAAAGCTTATCTGAAAATAATAAATTGAGGCCTTGGTTTTGTGTGTTAAGGTTTTATTCTTTATCTTTTACACTAAGAAGCAGTTGTCCAGGAATGTTCTTGGGGAGATAATTTCCAGTAAAAAATACATTGTGATATGGCGATTATATATGAAATACATATTATGGTGTATGGCACTCACAGCACTGGCGGATCCAGCAATTGCCCCCCCCCAGATTCTCCCCTGCCGGCTAGTGCAGTGCTGGCATTGTCCAAGTGCCCGCCCTGCAATGTGCTTTCACAGACCAGAGGGGAGATCAGAGATCTCCCTCCCCGGTCCGCAGGCACCGTGCTGGCAGGGGAGGAAGTGAGAGAGGACCCGGAAGCTCAGCCTGCAGCTCCTCCGGGTCCTCCTCTCGCAAGCACGGAGCTCCAAATCTTGCGAGAGTGAACTCTAGCCCTGGAGCTACGGGCTAGAGTTCACTCTGACCACTGGGACCACGAGGGATTCCCCACTGGACCACCAGGGATCCAGAAATGTTCCCCCTCCTCCCAGTAAAGGTAAGAAGGGAGGGGGACATAAATATATTTATTTTAATTAAATAAATTTAAAAAAAGCCTCCGTACCCTCCTTTCCCCCATACACACACTGCCCCCATACACACACTACACACACTGCCCCACAAACACTGCCCCCATACACACACTGCCCCACAAACACTTAGTGAGCCCCCATACACACACTACACACACTGCCCCACAAACACTGCCCCCTAACACACACACTGCAACCCTGACATACACTGCCGCCCTCACGCACTCACACACACACTTCACCGCTCACACACACACACTGCACCTTTCACACACACTCCACCCCTAACACATACCACTGCTCCTATGCCCTATATCCCAGCAGACCCCAGGTAAGTTGTCAAACTGTTCTTAAACGGTTTGACTACTTACTCAGGGATGGGATCCTGGCACTACTGGCGCCATAACTACTACACTGAGCTGTAGTGGTTATTGTGCCTAGATTATTTCTTTAAATAATCTACAAGTGCCCCTCCCGAGATCAGGCTCTGGATCTGCCACTGACTCACAGAACAGTTGAGAGCTTTCCGCGTTAAGGAACACATTCAATGTTAAACATGGTATAATGTGTACAGCAAGTGTTCTACTCTGTATTACAGATTAATTTGGGCTGTTCGGTAATTTAGCAGAGATAAAATCATTGCAGCCTACTGCACTACAAAATAAATCACTCATTAATATCCAGAGTTGGGAAAGAGAAACAAGTGCCTGTCCAATAACGGATTATCCTCTTTGGGCAGCTTTTAATAATGAGATTGTTATTTATATTATCGACGTATTAGGACGTTAACTACATCAGTGCATGCATCAATTATATATTGATGTAAAAGCTTTCATGCTAATAGGGTTAAAACCGATGTTGCATTTGTTTCTTGTGAGAACAAAGAATTGTGATCATTATATATCAACAAACAATAGATAGGTACATAAAGTATGCTCATTTATATTATTAGAAGACCCCTGAGGATATATGCGTTGCTTTTGACAGTTTTCAGAGAGCTACAAGGGAAAAAAACAACTGCATGTATACTGGGAAGATGTATGACAGAGAATGAATTATAGATGAGCCAACAGTAATTAACAGTCATGCTTCTTTTAAGGAAACAAAAAGAGAGGGAGATA